TGTATGTATGTATGTATGTATGTATGTATGTATGTATGTATGTATGTATGTATAACGTAGGAGAAGCTTGTTTGAACCTATCTGCTGGAGTCTGTCTTCATCACCAATTTTAACTGTGTGTGTGTGTGTGTGTGTGTGTGTGTGTGAGAGAGAGAGAGAGAGAGAGAGAATGGTCTTCTCTCCTTTCCTTTCTAGATACTTCCTACCATCAGTGGAAGCTCCTGCTAAGAGCCATCGTCTCTAGCCCCCCGTTTGCCACCATTAGTGGAAACCCACAGTAGGTAGCCACCAGCCCTATCCTGCCACCAACAATAATTAATTCTGGCCCCTCATTTATCACTATCAGTGGAAGTTCTGTCAGTAACAATCAGTTCTGGCTGGGGGAGTTAAGCCTATTACCCTCAGAGAAAGTCTGCTGGGTAATCAGCCAGCCCAGGATCTATGCCCCACCTCAGTCCCAGTGTAAAAGTTGATCTTTGACACTTTAAATGGGCGTTTGGGAGTCTAGAGCTATTTTGAGAGCAGAGTAAACTGAACCCCCTTCAAAGTTTCCTAATATTGTAATCGCAAGAACCGAGGGCAAGATGAATTTATTTCAGCTCTCCACTTGCATTCTTTGAAGAGAGGTGTATCAAGTTAGGCCTCTCCCTTTCGAGTCCTTTCAGTGCTATGGATGCTAGGAAAGACTAGTGTAGAAATGATTTATGGTGTAGTGAGTAATGCCATGAGTAAGATGTTACTTGGTTTCACTTGATGATTTTCTAAGATAGTATCATGGTTAGATTTTTCTGTTTATCTTTTCTGTTCATCAGTTTCCAGAATGTATATTCAGCTCTGTATAGCAACAGTTTTTTTTTTGTTTTGTTTTGTTTTAATGGCAAGTATAGTATTCTATTGGTTTACTATAGTCTGACTGATTAATCACAATTTATTACTACTTCTCTTGCCCCTGGACTTTAGCATTAGTTGCATCCTTTTTCCTACTGTACTTTGGTCATGGCAGCATAAAGCATATAATCAGAAGGTGGTAATGATAGAATGGATATACACAAAGACGCAGCTCCCTAATACAAAACAAGTGTTTTGCGTCTTCCTATAAGGATAGTTTCTTGAGAAATTAAAGATGCCCCAATTTAAGCTACTAATTAGATTTACATATTATAAATCAATATCACTATTGAAGATAAAAAAATTTGTTCAAAATTCAAAGTGGGATCATAAACAAAATAGGACTCAGTGATGGATCATTCTTGTGTGTGTATGTTGTATGGAGTGTTTGTGTATATGGGAGCCTATGTGTGTGTATGTGCATGTGAAAGTATGTATATGTACTCTGTGTATATGTATATATGTGAGTATATATGTTGTATCTGTATGTGTATATGTACTAAGTGCGTGTGTTGTCTGTGTGTTTTTTTATGAATGTGTGTGTTTTATGTGTGTGTTGTGAATGTGTATGTGTGCATATGAGTATGAAGCGTGTGAAAGTACATGCATTTTGTTTAACTGAGTGTATGTCAGTATCCACAATTTTTTGCCTATGACCTAAACTCATCAAGGATGTTGACATGTGATTGCTTTTGAACAAAAGGGTACCGGCTTCTAACAAATGTTCTTTCATGATATCATGATCCTATTTTCTATCTTATAAAACATACACTCACATGTATATCAATATTCCTAACATAAATATACAAATAATGAAATGATGGAACTTCTTGATTGTAATTGTTAAATGAGTTAAACACAGAAAGTTTTACACAGTTAAATATTTGCTGCTTAGGAAATATCTGTAGTAAATGTATATCATGAACCAAATATAGATATATCATATATCTATAGATTATATTATCTATATAATATATATCATATATATAAATTATGTTATCTATAGATATATCTATTTGGTTTATAAAATACATTTATTACAGGTATATTATGTATTTTATAAACCAAATAGATATATCTATAGATAACATAATTTATATATATGATATATAATATGTATGATATATATTATATAGATAATATAATCTATAGATATCTATATCTATAGATAAACAGTTATAACAGTATATCTATAGAAATAGATAATATATCTGTAGGTATTTACATAGATAAACATCTAACATTCTATGATTCCAGTTTCCAGAGGTTCCCTGGCCTGAATTTCTGACTAAGGGCATTTATTAAAGACTGGTAGCAGAGGACATTTGGAGATTGCTTCCAAGTGAACAGTAGAAGTGTGGGGTGGTGATGGTTGTGGCTACCGGCTCGTCAGTCAGATGAGCTCATTAGCCTTTTTTAGTAGTCGTGAAGGACTGCTAAGAGTGGATGCAAGGTTAGGAAAGCTTAGCCACATATGCTGTGTTTTCCATAGAAGGAGGCGGGGGAGGGGGAAGGATATGGAGACAGCTTTCCAGTGACATTCTGCTACCTCAGGGAAGGTAGACGAGGGGAGAGTAGGAGGGGTTAATGGAACATGGCATGGCTAGCTGCTCCATCACAAGATTAAGAATCTTTATTTCCATGCCTTAAAGTCTAACCAGACTTTCGATAGTAAGTCAGATTAAAAACTATGTCAACTGAAATCCATTGATTGACTTGTGTAGTTTTCAATTTTGAATGCTATTGGAGACATTTTACCATTGAATTAAAAGAGAAAGCAACAGCTTTTCTCCGCTTCCTTATCCTAATATGTAACTGTGGAATTCCTGTTACAGGTGGCCATTTGTAGACCTGGGTGGAGCTTTTGCTTTGTTATGTATTTTTCAGTTTAAAAACATAGATTATTTTAAAAATAAGCAAGACTTTTAGAAATATTACAAATGTGCTTAAATGACTTGTCAATCAAGAATACCATGGTCACATCATAAAAATCATAGAAGCAACTTATGTTTTAAACCAGTTATTTCTTCTCATTTATATAAGTGCTTTATCTGCATGTATGTATGTATGTATGTATGTATGTATGTATGTATGTATGTATGTAGACTGTGTATGTGCCTAGTGTCTCTGAGGCCAGAAGAGGGTTCCAGATCCTCTGAACCTGGGGTTATACAGAGGTTGGGAGCAACCATGTGACTTCTAGGAAATGAAGCCAGCCCTTCTGCAGGAGCCAGAAATCCTCTTAGGCACTAGGTCATCTCCAGCTCCCAGGAAATGTTTTTTGCTGCTGAGTGTTGCTTCACTTATGCGTTTCCAGCACTCTGTTTCTCTAAAGAGGAATCAGAAGAACTAATTGAGTTTGCTTGCCAGGCCTTGAAAAACCTGGAAGTTCCCAGCCACTGAGAATTGAGAAGCAGAGGTGTGAGAAGCCAAGTGTGACGTTAACAACACCAACTTCCGGCATCTGCCAGTTAGGTTTGACTGTTGCAGCCTTATGCTGAGGAAATACATGACTACACCACCACTGGCATACGGTCTTTATTTAGTCCAACGCTTTAGTTTTCTGTTTTGTTTTTGTTAAATTCATACATAAAGGGCTGGAGATGTAGCTAACTTGGTAGAGTATTTTTATAGCAAGCTGAAAAGCCTGAGTTAGGTCCCCATCGTCAAATAAACAGTGCATTGTAGCCGGTCCTAGCTACTTTGTGGGTTCTTCTTTATCCCCATATTTCACCCCCATCACCAGATAGGAGAGAAAGAAGGATAGAAGGGGACTTCTTTCTTCTTTTGTTCCTTCTCTGAGCACAACTACTAACAAACCAAGTCCTTGAATGACCAGCAACCACCCACAAACCCCTGCCTTTCGGGGTCCTCACATGTATATACACTCTGAAAAGTTCCCCGAATTCAAAACGTCACACAACCCAGAAACTATCTGCAACTGGCAAAACTGCACCTCTGCTAGAACAAGGGCCAAATCATAGCTGCCAGTCGGAAGCAGCCCCACATCCCCCCGACTCCCTGGGATTAAAACAAGAACATATTGTTATACTATTTCTGTGTTTTTTAAAAAGAACCACAATTTCAGATTCTCCACAGTGTATGGCCATACACACTCATAGTTCCAGCAATTGGGAACTGGAGGTAGGAGAATCAGGAGGATCAGGTCATCCTCTACTGTCTGGCGTATGTTGGGTCTGTCTAGGAGGCGTGAGATCCTGCTTCAAAACTCCCCTCTTCCTAGCCTGCACAGCCACCCAACACCACCCCCATGAATGAGAAGACTTGAGTCAAATCGACTGCTCCCAGACTTTTTAGGATACCAACCAATTGGAGACCTCTTTCAAAAATAATTTTAATAATCATATGGTTTTACGTTAAGTGTGGTAACCAAAGCTGTGTGGTTTCATTTCTTTAAGACGGCTGAAGAACAGTAAGGCCTCCACAGATGGACACCGGTACATCTTTCGAGGTCGGATCAATACCGAGGTGATGGAAGTGGAAAATGTGGATGATGGCACAGGTACGTGCACCTAGTAAGTTCCTCCTAAGGCAGAATTCTGACATGAATAATTTGCTTTTAATTCCTCAAAATGCAGGAGTGTCTTATTAGGCCTAACAGTGGGGCAGAGTGGAGAAGGTGAGAGATTCAGGCGTGCAGGATCCTTGTTTGACTTCATATGATATTGGCTGAGAGATATCATTTCAGAAGAAAATAATTCTGTTCTCTTCTGACTGAGTATGCCTGCTTTGCTTGAATCCTATAGGACATCAGCAACTTTATATTTGGGCATGTAACATATATGTGCAGAAAATGTCTAATTGAGTGTATTGATCCTCTTTATGTACTGTTTGATCAGGAGGGTAATTTTATTGTATAACATTTTAACCATAGAGTGTAAGCGATGGTGGATGTGCTTTGGTCATACAATGTGTGTTCCTATCGTCAGTTTGCTTGCAGAGGGAAACTGAGTGGGGATGATTTTGTGATTCCAAGTGCTGGATTACTCCTTATTACTAAAGGGAAGTTAAGTGTTTTGAAAAATTGACCTTTACAAACAGGCTTAAGAAAATAAGATTAGTTACAACCATTAAGTTAAACAAAGTTAAAATACATTTTTTCTTTTACCACTTGAAAAAAAAGGATATATATTTAAAGCTAAGGGTTTGTAAGTTGAATCCTATTTTTCTCCAATGATTTTCATTATAATTATAATGCTGTGTTAGAAAAATGGCAAAAGAACATAAAATAGATTAATAGATGATAAATTTTCCCCCAAGTAGAGTCAAGCCTCTTAGAATCCAGCACAGCAGTGGGATTGAGGATTTCTTATCATTCTAAATGACAGGAACCCCTTATCAGTGGCTAAATAGATAAAACTATACTATGTATACAATGTATTTGCTTTGTCCGTTCATCTATGGATGGACACCCATAGTGCCCTAGTTAGCTTCTCTGCAGCTGTGATAAAACACTGACTAAAAGCAACCTGGGGTGGAAAGGATTTATTTCATCATTGAAGGAAGTGGGGATAGTAATTCAAGGGAGGAACTTAGAGATAGGGTACCAGAAGCAAGGGTACCAGAGCATCCTTCATGATTAAGAACACAGAGGAAACTGGGAATAGAAGCAACAAAACTCAACATAATAGATGTTGTGTATGACAGACCTGCAGCTAATATAATAATAATGGGAAAAAGCTGAGCCAATCCTCTCTAACGTGTGGGAGACAGGAGTTCCAATTCTTTCTACTCTTAACAGTACAGTGCTCAAAGTCTTTTCTAGGAGAATAAAAAAGAGAGAAAGAATTTTTAAAAAAGATACAAATAAGGAAGAAATCAGATGTCCCTGCTGTAATGTAGTGATCCTGTGAATAAAAGACCCTAAAAATTCTAACCTTGAGAGGCACTAGTCTTTACCAGAGAGCTTTTTTTTTTTTTTTTTTTTTAAATTGCTGATGCCAAGAAGGCTTCAGCAAAGTAGTGGGTTGAGAATCAGCACAGCAATGCTGACAACTTTGTAATGTAACAAAAATATGAAACGATGGAAAAATCTCACTCTAAGTAGCTTCACAAAATACCTGAGACTAAAGCTACCAAAAGCTTTAAGACACCGAAGAAAGAAATGGAAAAACACTAGAGGATGGAAGGACTTTTTATGTTCATATATCTGCATAGGCAGAAGTACTAGTGAAATTAGTGTGTTCTTGAAAGTAATCTACAGAACCAACTGAAGCCCTATCATGTCCTAATGGTGCAGGGAGAACCAGATTGCCACACGTAGAAGTTGGGCATTAGAACTCTTGTCTCTCACCTTACTTGAAAAATGGATCAAAGATTTTAATGTTAAAAGCTGAAACTTGAAATCCGCTATGGGAAAGCCATAGACAAGGACTTTCTAAAAATGCTTCTTAGCTGAGGACATGATTCCAGGAATTGACAAATGGGAAAACAAGAAATAAAAAGGCTTGTAAAGAGATATCCTACAGATTGGGAGAAAAGTGTTTGCTAACTTCAAACAGGATTATATCAAGAAAAAACTAGGCACCAAAACGTCTCCAAATCATCCACTCAATATATGGAACAATGAATGGCACAGATAGTTATCAAAAGAATAGATGGATATGGCTAGCAAATACTTAAAATCACTCAACACTTCAACCCAATCAGGATGGCTATCGTCAAGATGATAAATGACAGCAAAAGCTCATGAGGATGTGTGTAAGGAGGAACTCCTATTCACTATTAACAGAACAGCCACTATGATGGTTTCTCAAATGACTGAAAGAATGACCACAAGTCCCAGTTTTACCAGCAACGTGGGAGAAACATGAATTAGAACTATGTATATGATGCGTGGAAGTGCATGATATAAGCCGTAATTTGTAATGCTAACTTCAAAAGAGAATTAAAAGAAGAAATTGGTTGTAAAAACAAAAAAGACCAGTCTATGGGAAGATGCTTTGAAAAAGCGGACTCATGAAATTGGAAGGAAAGATGGTAGAACAGAGGCTGGCACCATGGAGGATGACATGTCTACACCCGGTCACAGCATTTCGGCCAGCAGGCTGTAAGCGCAAAGGTTGTGCCTGATGGGACACCTGTACTGACAGGTGTGCGGCAGCCAGGAGCCCACAGGAAACTTGCCCCCCATCCCCATGCCCTGCCTAGCTGTGACATCACCCTCACTCTCAGCAACAGGAGGACATCCGAGGCTAATCTCTGCAATGGCCCAGTATTTAATCACCTGTTGGAGACCAGAAAAGTTGAACCAGGTCATGGATTGTTGTGATGAATATTTGCATGTAAAGCTGTTTGGGCAGAAGAACACAGTGTGTGACACGCTGCGGATTCTAGTGCCACCGTGGCAAATGAATGTGCGATGGTGAGGTGGGAAAGATGGAGGAGTGGAGCTGTGCGATGGGGAGAGGTGGAACGGGAGAGGACCTGCCGTGACAGGTGTGAGAGAAGGCTGTGGTGGATGGGGGAACATGCCAAGTAGGGCCGACAGGATGGTGTGCAGCAGTCTGGAGCTTGTGCAGACTCAGCCTGTAGAAAGATAAATTATTCTTTCTTTATTTTTCAATACAGTAAGTTAATTACGGCATTAGTTTCCTTTAACCAGCTGGTAACCAGTGACTGACACAGAGAGACTACGATTTATTTTTTGTAAGCACTATGCAGCACAGATTCTGAACTGCTCTAATCCTAGTACCTTTAAAACCCACGGAAAATCAATCTCTTGCCAGTCTGATGACTCCCACCGTGGCCTCTGTCCATCCATCAGTCTGTTCCTGTAGCCACATGCTCATCACCATCTGCTTCTCTCCACTCCCCTCTCTCTGGCTTCCTCTCCTCCTGCTGTCCCAATAACCTCAAACTCCACCTCCCTCTCTCCTGCCCAATCATAGGCTTCAGCATCTTTATGTAGCCAACTGTGGATAATTGGGGAACATTCCTCACATGGTTACAGGAGTTCAACATTCAAAATGATGCCCAATGCAGGGGTAACCAGATCTCAAGGCACTGAAATCAGCATTTGAAAACACAGACCTTCTGCGTGTTAGACACCAGTGTCTAACTTCCACAGTTAGACACCAGCCATGCGATCGCCCTGGTTCTGAGCGACAACAGGAGGTCCGAGATAAAGGACAGTTTATTTTCTGGATTGAACCTTCACAGAAGACCTCTATAGTCTGTGCTGCCTCTGGAGGCTGTGTTGCTATTTCTGGTCTACTGCCCCAGGCCAGGTTGAAGCCAGAGGTTCATGTGGATGATCCTGGTCTGGGCTGCCACCACGGGCCTTGTTGATGTGAGTGGCCTCTTCTGCCACCTGTGCCAGGATGATGTGTTGGTATAATGTTCTTGTGGAATGTATACCATTTACCCTTGTTCATTGAAATGCTGAATTCTCTACCCCATTATCTCGTTTCAATCCCATTGCATTGTGGTGTTTATTCTAAGCATCAACTGTCTCAAGCTTTTGTAAACATGCCACCATTCGTTCTCTGTAATTATTGATTAAACAACCAGCCAATGCTGAGCAATAGGGTGGGACATGCTGGTCCAGGGGGGAGGAGAAGGAAGCTAGTGGAAGAGGAGAGCAGAGATCAGCAGGAGAGGACTTGGAACCAGAGGAGAGACAAACTGGACCTAAGATATAACTAAAAGCAAGCATAATGTTGGAAAGTCTGAATGGGAGGAAGCTATGCAGGCTTGGAGGTTTAGGATGGAGTGATTAAGGTTTAATTAAGTAGATCCTAGTCTCTGTATGGTGATTTGGGTATACAGCTGGATTAGGAATAACCACTGTTTAACTAAAAGATACACCAATATTAAATATTAATAAACAACAACAAATGGCGTATCAACATGTGGCAGAATTTATAGTAATCTAGCAAGAACTTATATGGAAAATAAAACTATAGAGCAGTTTTTTAGTTCTGTCATTAAAAACAAAGCAAAGGAAGTTCCTTAATTAGGAGCTCACAGATTCCTGATTAGACAGACACCTTGTAAGGCCTCCAGCAGGCTGCAGAAAAACAAAAACTGTTGCATACAAACCTCAGAGAGGCAGTTTCTTTAGTTAGAAAAAAAAAGTGGCTCTTTAACAAACATGCTTCTTAAGGCCAGACTTTACTAGCCAAGGCAAGAAACAAAATCCCATTGAGAAGGGGTTCTTGCTGGTTTGAGGAGCAAACGTTTGTGGAGCCAGTAACTTCCCAGAGTGAGGAAGTGTTCAGGATCCAGTGATAGAGGCAGAAAAAAGATACCTCTCCCCGGAAGCAGGAGCCAGAGACAGACAGAGAAGCCTCAAGCATCTAAACTGTTAAGGTCTGGGTAAGAAATGAAAGCTGGGTCTAAGAAAGTAAAGTCCTCAGGGAAAGGTTTTAAAATTAAAAAAGGTAATTTTCTGTGTTGAAAATGGAGGAAGACAGTGACACAGAGCTTCTGGGTACCATCTGAGGTTTTTTCTTTTAGCATACAAATATTTTTTTTTTCACGGATATTTCAGTTTTGTAT